AATTTCATGATTCTGACTTTTAATTTCCGTCAAATATTATTTTTTTCATAAATATTTTTAGTTTCAACAGTTCGCTTTCATAACATCATAACATTTTCCTCTCGACCATTTTATTTTTGTATATCTAACTATTTGTATTTTGAAATTTAAATCCTGTGCAATAGTTTTGGCTTGCGATTTTGTTGGTTTTTTGTATTTTGGTATCCTTACGTCCTGTTTCATTGATTACTAACAAAAAAAAGAAAGCAATAAAAATTAAAAAAAAAAAACGAAAAGTTAAAATAATAATATATAAAATAATAAATTGATTGAATCGATTCGTATGTTATTTGTGATAAAAACTGATATGTGAATATTATAATGTAATACTGATAAATTTACATATATGTATGTATGTATATTTTGATATATATAGGTATGATGGTATATGATATTCATTATATATTCTACTGAATTGTTTGTACATACATTTGACAAAATTTATAGGGATACTTTAAATTTTGATCGGAATGTTAAGCTCATAATAACCTATTGAACCATAAGTTTATGACCGTGTACCCGCAAGTTTATGCAGTTATATTGTGCATCAGTGACATATTGTATTTCACGGTCCGTCTGTTATCCCTTATATTATGTACATATATTTATATTATGTATTATATTTGTAGTTATTATTAAATTTTTTTCTGTACGATTTTTTCCTATCATTTTGGAATGGATTATTGCATTATTTTGGACCATTATTTTTAATCCTTCTTTCATGTACACGTACATGTATACCATGTATACGCATATACATGCATTATTTATAATACATGTTGTTCATTTTTATTTATTATATTGCATTTTTATAACTTTAATGTTATGTTGGTTTGTACATGCATTCCAAATTTATTATTTTTTCCAAAAACAAAAAAAATAATTTTATAATAATAACAGAATTGTAAAAAAAAACGCAAAAAAAAAATTGTAAATTAAAACAAGAAAAATAAAAAAAATTTAAAATTATTTGTGCGTCGATAAAGTTTTTTTTTTATTTTTTGGGGAGGTTTAAAGACTGCACAAAAAATGTGAGAGATCCCTAGAAAGTAAAGAATAAAAAAAATAAAGTAAAAGGAATATAAAAAAAATATGTGCTTTTTTCTCTCATTTTCATTTTTCGTTTTTCTTAAAATAAATAAAAGAAGGAATAAAATGAGAGAAAAACCTCAGAATCACATTACTCAAATGTGCAAGCATGTGTGAAAATAACCACAATATTTTTAGTTGTTATTGTAATTGGGTATTTTTGCTACCACTGTTGATATTGTTGTTGTCGCGATTATGGTGATTTCGCTGATGTAAACAGCTTAATATTTTGGTGATTAAAATATATATATATATAAAATGAAATTATATAACAATAAGATTTACAACCATTTATAGGGTATTAAAAGTTTATAGTAAGTATATATGAAATTGTTTTTCTGCTTTAAAAATATTTTATAAAATATGAGAATTATTTTCGAAATTATTTATTATTTTGGCCCAACATATACCAATTTTTTAAGACCGAAAAAAGTTTAATGATTATAAAAATAATGCTTGTTGCATTTAAATGAATCATGTTACACATGCCAAAATATAAATTTTTTTCTTTAATATTGTTATATATCATTGAAAGCGACCAACAAAATGCATGGGCATGTTATAAATTACTTTATCATGTAGTTTATGTGTATTATTCGTGCGAACTCTGCTAATAGGTAAACTCTTCATTTCGGTTGAGAAATCTTACACCGGTTGAATTTAAGATTTTATGTTAGTTCTCTTAAGTGCATTTCAAATTAAATATTTCTAACCGAGAAAATAAGTTAATAAAAAAATTAGCAGAATATTTTTCTGTAGAATTAAATTTGCTCAAGTTGTTCTTAGAAGAAAATTTTGAATTTGAAGTGAATTTCGAAAAATCTATATTAAACGTTTCGATGATTTGTATTGTATATTTTGTAAGAAGGCTACATTATTCTTTAACAATATAATTTTAGTAGTTTCATTTTCCAGTAAATATTTTGGATATCTGAAATCTTTAAAGAAGAAATTTGAATTTCTAAAGAGTTTGAAAAACTATTTTTAAAACTTCTATATTAGTATGTATATGCTTAAGTAATATAACATGTAACGAAGGACTTACATTAAAATATTCAAAAGCACTTTAGTAATTTTAAAGATTGCGTTTTGAGCGCATTGCACCCATAGAATTCCTTTTTGTGCTACACACTTTTATGAGACTTTTCCTTCACTATTATTTCGTGAGATTAATGTTACGACTATAGATAGCTCGCATTTATTATATTTTAGAGATATTGACTTCTAAAGATACAAAATTTAGCAATAACAAATAATTTATCATGAAGATTATTATTTTCAGATATTTTTAAAAAGACTTTTAAACTTAGATATTGGTCGCAGATGAAAGAGCATTCGATTTTATGACGCCTAGGTTAATTATCTAAAAATATAAAATTTTCGAATTATCTATAGTTGTAGAATTAACCTCACGAATGTTCCTGAGCCGAATTTGTGGATGACTTCATCAAAATGATGTGCCTTATATCTCTCTGATGTATATGACCCGGATTTTTAATCCGGTTAGAATTTGTTGAGTATTCCTATAGTACCAAGCAGCAATATTATTATACAGTGGTGACCATAATATTGAATGACATCTAAACGAAATTTAATTTTTAAATTTAAAACATTTAAAATGAAAACTGAAAAAAAATATTTTTTTTTTCATGATCGCATCATTCCATATCGGAGTTCAACAAACCGTTAATAAATTAATTCTTTTGATGTGAATTCAATTTTATTTTTTATAAAATTTTTTTGAAAAAAAAGAAGAATTTTTGTATTACTGCTTTCGCAATTTATCATTGCAATACTTATGACGATAATATGCTTTTCCTTTTTTTTTTGTTTTTTACATAAAAAATAAATCCTAGCAATGAATATATAATTTTATAAGAGCCTCGCTACATTTACATATTTTATGTGAATACAATTGCAAAACTATATACAGAATAATGCGTACATACATAATGATACATACGTACTTACATTTGTATATGCATATATACACATACTTACATGTAGATGAAACTACTTATGCGAAGGCATAAAGTCCTGATATTCAATATGGGAACATTAATTTTTCATTGTTATTTCATATACTGATAATGATAAGAGGCTAAGGAAATAAAAGAGGAAAAGAAATACTTTTCCGCTATTTTTTTTCCCTATAATATCAACACGTTTTACTTTTTATTTATTTATTCTTCTCTTTGCTTTAAAATAATGAAATCGGGTAAATTTAAAAAAAATCGGGTAAATAATGAAATCGGGTGAATTAAAAAAAAAGGTTAACAGGAATACTTTACATTTTTATAGCTAACATCTGGAATAGTATGTAAATCATATTTTGAATCATATAAGAACCAAAGAGTGCATACACTGTCGAATGGAATTTTGCATTTCAATATTTCTTTGTATATAGTTACCGCTTAAATTACATTTATTGTAAGTTAAATAGGCCGAATAAAGTGAACTAGAAATATGTCCTTTTAATTAAACTCCTTTTAATTAAAAATTTTCGACTCCCAGTGCCCGATTAAAGATTAATAAATTATTAACCCCAAGAGTTCGAAATTTTGGTTTTTAATAGTATTTCCAAGTATATGTTAGAGTATGGTATACTATAAACAACAAAATTCCAAACAAATGATCATTAGCAAACATTGTTTAGCACTAAAGTGAATGCAGTTATTAAATAACATTTTCTCACTGTTATTATCTCACTTTGAATTATTTAAAACCCTCTAAGCTTCGTTTTCAATAGTATTCTTCGTAATTTCTTCGTATTTATTCGAACCTAATAAAATTTAATATTTTGTTTAGAAAAAAATCTGAAGACAATTCTTTCCTATAACAATTTCCTATTATTATTACACAAACAAAAAAATCAAAAAGTTGTATAACAACTTTGTAGTGCATATATACTCGTATAATAGTAAAATATTTGATATTACAAAAACGAACAGATAAAATACGAGTACGTTAACAGTTTAAGAATTCTATATTTACACATTATTATAATTTTAGTATAATTTGAATGGAATATTAGGTCAATCTTGTATCAGAAATTTAAGATTTCCTCTAGGTAGACTTTGCAGATTTCAGTTATTAATATAAGTTTTAATTTCTAAAACTCTTTAAGATCTTTTAAAATTACAAAAACATTGTGTAGCGTAATCGAAATTCGCTATCCTATCTTTAATTTAATGTTTTTTAATTTATACGAGTACACCAAAAGTCATTTGTGTTAGAATAGTTCAATTATATTTTCTTTGAAATGTCAAACGAATCGTTTAACCTTTCGTTGTTTTCTTAATAGAGTTGCCGCAATATTAAAATTTTTATAAACATTATTCGATGCTGGATGCTGATAAACTTATTGATGCTACACATAAAAAGTGGTAAAAAGTGCTACGATAAATAAAATTTTTAATATTTTCGCTAAAAAACTTAACTGACATAAATTTTCAATTAAATTAAATTAGACAAATTTATTTCTAATATTAAAATTTAACACTTAATATTATCATTTCTTATTATCTTTATTTTAATATTCATAAATTTCAAAATCATTAAGAGTTTGATTTGGTAACTCTTATAATATGCTGATCAACAGGTGAGAATGTTTTTACGATAAAGATATTTGTATAGGTATTTATGTAGATAATATCGTAAAAGAGAATAAACCTGTTGTTAGTTTCAATTTTAACTTGTGTTCTCTCTATTTGTTTTTATTATCTTTTTACTCTTACAAAAAAAAGTAGGTAAATAAAACCGCATGTAAAGGTGTTCATTTCAATGTCAGGTTGTTAATGTATTGTTTAGTTACCTAAATGTTGTTATGGCTACAAGAATGTCTAATTAAAGTATAAACAAATTATGTTTTGTGAAGAAAAGAAGTCCAAGTGTAAAGTACCTAATAAAAATTTTCTTTAGAATTAAAATTCATTTATAATAAGTAAAAATGTTTGTCTACTTAAGTAAAAAGGTATTTATTTAATTCATTCAATATCAACCGTAAAAAGGAACTAATTTTAATCGTCCATTTTCTTTATTTTAGATAGCAATCCCAAATAACATTCGATTAAATGCTATTGCTTGGAATAGTGATCAGGTTTGTCATCAAGTTATTATTGATTTTTCTTTCTAAAAAAAATAAAATATTATTTAAAATTGTTTTTTACCATATATTATAGGGATATATAGCAGTATGCGGTGAAGATGGTCTTTTAAAAGTTCTAAAATTAGAACAGGCATCTGGTAATGTTAATGGAACATCTAAAGGTGGTTTAGCAGCACTCAGTAATTTATCAATGAATCAAACTCTTGAAGGTCATAAAGCTGCAGTTCAAGTAAATTTTCTTATATTTCCTTATTACTCAATATTTGTTTTGTATTCAATCAAATAATGTTCAAATTTTTTACACTGATTCAGGTAGTTACATGGAATGAACCACAACAAAAATTAACATCATCAGACAAAACAGGTGTTATAATGGTATGGATGTTATATAAAGGTTCATGGTACGAAGAGATGACAAATGATAGAAAAAAGTCTGTTGTTAAAGGAATGTCATGGACATCTGATGGACAAAAAATTTGTATTGTTTATGAAGATGGTGCTATTATTGTTGGTACTAAAACCTGTATAATTTTTATACATAATACTTTAGAATTTAAATTTTTGTGATAAATAGACAGTACAAAATATATGCTTTTTTCAATATTGCTTTATTTCTTATAGGATCTGTTGATGGAAATCGTATTTGGGGTAAAGAATTAAAAAATACTCCCTTGACAGGAGTTCAATGGTCACCAGATAATCGATTAATTTTATTTAGCTTAGCAACTGGAGAATGTCATTTATATGATAATCAAGGATCATTTGTTGTGAGTTAATTTTATCTCAGTAATATTTTTCACTATGAAGTTAAAAAAATGTATTTAAGATGAAACTTAATATTCAATGTGTTACACTGAGTGCAAATAGAAATTTCCCTATTGTCGCAGTTAATTGGTATAGTGGTAAAGTACCGATTAATAGACCAGTTTTATGTATTTGTTATGAAAATGGTAAAGTACAAATAATGAGAAACGAAAATGATGAAGGTAAATAATTATTATTTATTGGGAATTGGTCAAAAACTAAGGAAATTATGATTTTGTAGTTCCAATTATAATCGATACAGAAATTCAGAATACAGCAGCAAAATGGAATACAGATGGCAGTGTTTTAGCAATATGTGGTGTTAATGCAACAGTTGGTCTCAAAGAAACTAATCATGTGATGTTTTATTCGCCATATGGTAAACATTTGAGGAGCTTGAAAATTCCTGGTAGTGAAATTACATCCTTATCTTGGGAAGGTGGTTCATTAAGAATAGCTTTAGCTGTTGATTCTTTTATTTATTTTGCTAATATTCGTCCCGATTATATGTGGTGTTACTTTGAGAAAACTGTAGCTTTTCTCAATAGTGCCGATACCAGTTCAAACATAATTACTTTCTGGAATACGGTATCAAATCAGGTAAATTGTTTAGCAATTGAGAAAATTTGAATTTTGTTCTTCGTAATTATCTCCCTTTTTTAAGAGTTTTTTGAAAGAAATTGAAAATCCTCTTGCAATGACTGCATGTAACGAACATTGTGTAATTGCTGTTGAAACAATTAATATGAATTTTAAAGACACAAATATTCTTGTTGAAAAAAATTTTAAAGATAAACACTATCAACTTTTAATATGTAATTCAATTGGGACTACTGTAGATGGTATTATATTTATACACATAGTTAACTTCGTTTTTATGTGTTAAATTTTTTTTTTTATTTTTGAATTTAAGCAAAATATACTGATTTAAAACCAGAATTCATTGCAATGAGTTTAACTTATGTATTGGTGGCATCACAGGATCAGTTTTTAATATGGCATTATCATACACCGAAAGTAAAATAAAAAATAAATATAATGTAAAATATATATTTGAAAAAAATGTGATTTCAGGGTTCATCCTCTTTACATGGAGTGAAAACTAGAAAAGATAAACGTTTCCATATTGATGATACCCCATCTGGAGTTGCAGAAGTTCTTAATGATTTAGATAAAGGTGGATATGATCCGCCGATAAATAATAATCCTACACATGATCCTATTTGTTGTGTAGCAATGTCTGAAAAACTTTTGCTAATAGCAAGGGAATCTGGGGTTATAAACGAATATAGTATACCAACAGTTGCTTTGCAGACTCGGCATAAAATTGGAACTCGAGCATTTAAAATGTCCATCAATTGCAATTCCACGTAATAAAAGTATAAGCTTTTATAAAACATTATTTAAAATTTTTAATAAAATTTTAGAAAAGCATCTATAATTGATAGTAATGGTGTTATGACTCTACTCGATTTAGACGAAAACCGAGAGCATAAAGTCAACATAAATCGTGTTGAACGTAAGGATGTATGGGCTATATGTTGGGCTAAGGATAACCCACAACTTTTGGCTTTAATGGAAAAAACTAGAATGTATGTTTTACGTGGCTCAGATCCAGAAGAACCGATATCCTGTTCTGGATATATATGTTGTTTTGAGGAATTAGAAATAACGTCAGTATTGTTAGATGATATTATTAGTGGAATGGAAACACCAAATCCAGTGGTTCACATAGTACAATTAAGAATAAAATCATTAAGAGATACGGAAGACTTACTTTTACATGTTGGTGTACCTGAAGCAAAACAGTTTATTGAAGATAATCCTCACCCAAGACTATGGAGATTGTTAGCTGAGGCATCATTAAAAAAATTAGATTTGGAAACAGCCGAGAATGCATTTGTAAGATGTACAAATTATCCGGGAATACAATTGATTAAACGACTAAAAAATATTCCTTCTGAAATTTTACAAAAAGCAGAAATTTGTGCCTTCTACGGGGAATTTGAAGAAGCTGAAAAATTATATATGGATGCCGATCGCAGAGACTTAGCAATTAATTTAAGAACTACTTTATGTGATTGGTTTCGAACTGTACAGTTATATAGGATGGGACCTGGAATATCTGATCAACAAATGGAAAATGCTTGGAAGGAAATTGGAAATCATTTCGCGAATTTGCGAGCCTGGTAAATTTAATCAAAATTGCAAAAATAAGGTACATATAAAACTTTTCTAAAATAACAGGGAAAGTGCAAAAGAATATTATGAAAAAGCTCATCATATTGAAGGACTTATGGATTCTCTTTACCATCTTGAGCAATATGAGGAATTAGAAAATTGCATCAATATATTACCTGAGAAAAGTTCACAGCTTTCAAAATTAGCACAAATGCTGGCTTCAGTTGGTAATTTGCTTCATTGATGCATAATCATAAGTTATTAAATAAAATAATTTTTAAATAAAAAAATTTAAATTGTGTAGGTATGTGTAACGAGGCTGTTAATGCTTACATGAAACTTGGAGATTATAAATCTGCAATAAATACTTGCGTAAATTTACGCCAGTGGGGTCAAGCTGTTGAATTAGCTCAACGATATAAGATGCCACAAATTGGGGCATTGTTAAGTAAACATGCAACGCATTTGTTGCAAGAAGGTAGATTACTGGAAGCAGTTGAGTTGCAAAGAAAAGCCGGTAGATACCTAGATGCGGCTCATCTGTTAGCAAAATTGGCAGAACGGGAAGTCGCAAAAAAATCTAATTTATTACGTATTAAAAAGCTTTATATTCTGGCTGGTCTTTTGACAGAAGATCATTTGAAAACGCAATCATCTTTGACTGGTTTTACAAGAGCTACAATTTTATCAGAACTTACACCTGAAGATACAAATCTAATTGAGCAAATATGGCATTGTGCTGAAGCTTTTCATTTCATGTTATTGGCACAGAGGCAATTACGTTTTGGAATTGTTCATAGTGCTGTCATAACAGCTGTGCGATTGAGAGAATATGAAGATATTTTAAGTATTGAAGATATTTATAGTATTTTAGCTTTAGCAAGTTGTGCAGATAGATCTTTTGGTAATATTAAATTTTTAAACTAGTGCGGTAATTACATAATAATAAAATCATAGGTACCTGTTCGAAAGCATTCATCAAATTGGAATCTTTAACAAATGTGACAGAAAAAGTTTTAACAGAGTATGAAGACCTTGCTGTTAGTATATTTTCAAAAAATGAGCCATACGATAATGAAACAGATCTCATTACATGCTATATGTGCGCTGCTACAATGCCTGATAGGTTTATTTGAAACAGCATCTCGCAAAACAAACCAATTAATTTTTTGTATATTTTTAATAGTTCACCGTCGTGTTCAACTTGTGGAATTCATTTTCCAGCATGTGTTGCATCTGGAAGACCAATAACACAACCAATTGAAGCATGGAAATGCAATACTTGTCACCATTCAGCGTTCCCAATTGAAATTTTAGACAGGAAGAGTTGTCCACTTTGTCACAGTGCTATTAAACATTAGAGTAAAAAATGGATGAATTTATACTTAATTACACAAATTACAGTTAGATCTTAATCTATTTTACTTACTTTTGAAAATTTTTATAAGACTTAACTTATTTAATTATAGATTTTAATTCGAATGTTTTTATTTCTGAAATGCATCAAAGGAAGATTCAGTGATTTTTTATGCAATTAAACTGTTTTACAATAAAACGAATGAAAATTACAATCAAATTCCCGATTTCAAATTGTACATTTTTACACGAAATTTTCATTTAAACCAGTTTTTATTTTTATGTTTAACAAAACCAAAAAGGAGAAAAAAATTTTTAACACGATGATTTATTGTAGAGTATATATTATGTAGTAACCCTTTTTCTAATATTATTTTATAAAAACTCTGGCATCCAATTTTTTGATAACGATGAATAGGAATGCATGTTTTAATGGTCATTCATGTGTCTGAAGATAAAATTGCAATAAAAAAAATTTAATGTGGTCAGTAAATAACCGACCGCAATGTATATTGTCTAGTTAAGTGAAAATGTTACAGAATATTATAAAAATGCTTTTTAAACACTACTTTCCAATTTTTAGAGCGTGAGTAAGCTTTTAGTTAACAAACCTTTCTTTATCGTTAAGTTAAAAAACCTTTGTCTAACTCCCAAGGTCTCTGATATATCCCAAAAGTTAATCAATCCATGACATAGTCAAAACAAATTCACATATAAAATTTCATGAAAATCGGTTCAGCCGAATTTGAGATACACGCGTGCATCCACAGACCGACAGACTGACACCTCTCTAAAAATAGTTTATTTACGCTTCACTCGTTCCTACCGAAAACTCGATATGCAAAATTTGTTGCCATCACATCAGCTGTCTTATTGTATGCAATGCAGTCGGTAAAAATCTGTCATTTTAACTGTGTTATAGTCATAATACTACGTTATTTTATAAGTTATTTTTTTCTATTTCTACCCTATTTTGGTTGTGCTATAGTATTTTTTCATTTAACGTTTATAAACTTATTTCAAAAATATATAAAAGGTTTAGAAGGGGTGACTGAAATATCAAAAAGATAGGCTATTCCACAAATTATGCACTCTTATTACTTCATGTATGCAATTATTACAATATAATATAAAATTTTAAGAAAAATGCTCACCATCAGTACTTAAACTTCTTATTTACATATCTAATTTAGTTCAGTAAATTTCTTCAGAAGATGAAGACAGAAAATTCCTAAAAGAATATAATTTTAAAATTCTTTGACGTTATTGGTTGCTTGAACTTCTATTTATCATTTTATCAATTTTCTCCGCAAATCAAAAACTACGGAATCAGCCCAGTTGAGTGGGGCTGAAGTTGGAGTAAAGTCGGCTTCGAAGATGTTCCAATTTTCATATTTTTCTTTTATTGAACCCGAGATAATCAGTGTTGCAGTAACAATATCTTGGGGCTGTTTTCTTAAAACTGGGTTGAATATACAGTTTTTTTCAATGGTCGCAGTACCTTAATGGATAAGTGGACGACAATTCAGTGGCCTCAAACACAAACCGCCTAACTCGAGTTAAGACAAAAATGAGATATGTTTACCAGCGAGTTCTCCGTTTTGAGTTTCATATGCTCACAAAATTTGGTGGTTCTACGACTGTTGTAGGCGGAGTTATTGTCGAATTCACACATGACCTAACTCGAAATGGTAGCTATGTGCACTTGCACTAACCGCCTATTTCGAGTTAAGAGCAGAAAACATCTTTTTTATGTTTTTGACAAACCACTTATTTCGAGATAGGCTGTTGTTGCAAATCAATATTGGTGACATTTTTTTTTTCATGTATGAATTTTTATAACCGCTTATCTCGAGTTAAGCGTTTGTTGCAAAATTAATTTTGAGTTTTTTTAAATACTAACTCGACATAAGCGATTTGTGTAAAATAAAAATTGGTGGTTTTTTAAACTCATCTCGAGTTAGGCTATTATTGCAAATACAATTATATTCCAAAAGGCTTCTTATGTTGAGTTAGGTTTTTATAACGCGTGCAAATAAGAACCAAAAACCAAAGTTAAGCGTTTAGTGTTCGAAATAATACATGATTTGTATAGAATATTTTTTAGTTTTTTATAATAAAAAATATTTTATAACGCTTAACATATTATTTTATGTGATATATAGTGTAGGTACTTTATATTCATGATTTACATTAAGCGACAAGTAAAATTGTTGTATTTTTTAACACAAAATATAAAACATCTGCACAAGTTACCTGCATTATTAATGCTCTAATTACCCAAATATCCCATGTTTAAGATTTGAATTTTTTTATTTAACAAATAATCTTGTAGGTCATTTCGTGATTTACCTGCGGCAAATATTTTTTTCAACTGACGGAGTTCCCATGTTAAAATGACACGTGGCTAGCTACCTGATGGTAGATTGTTTTGCTTTTGTAGTCTAACATAATTGTATTATTAAACAAAGTGTTATTTTATTACGCCCTTGTAAAACACATGTTATTGGGAAGATCAAATTTTTGAGTTTAACAAGAGTTTTCATTCTAATTATTGTATTACAAAGCAACACTTTTATTATACACTAGTAAAACACATTTTGTTAGGATATTCAAATTATTATAATTTGCAAGGGTTTTCAATAAATAAAATTGGTACATCTGGGAATAACAATATTTTGTTGTACTTTTTATTACTCATTTCCGTGAGATTAAATTTCTTCGATTTTCAAATATTTATTATATTTTTGTTATTTCGAAGAAAGTATTTTTTACAAAGACAGTTATTTATTATTGTTTTTAAATGTGCTTATTATATATTAAATTATATAAATTTTACAAAACGATTAAGACTGGAGATTTAGCAGATACTCATCCATATTTAGTTGGAGAATCCGAGAGAGAATAAAAGATACTGTCACCTTTCTTAAATTTAATGAAACAATTATTTTTAAACTTTTAGAAATAATTTTTCCTTGAAGTTTATTTATTTCTTACCTCAATTGATGTTTTTTATGACAATGATTTGAAAAAAAAGTGAAAAATCAAATAACGTAAAAATAATACATATATTTCTTCCCTTTTCAATATAACTTAAGTCACCTAAAACCATACCTTCAGTTTTGCAACAACAGCTTAAGTCGACTTAAGTTTGACGAAAATGCAAAAGTAATTTTTCACAAATCGCCTAAGTCGAGTTATGCTTTGCAAAGTGCTTTTTATAAATTTTGTATAACCGCCTATCTCACTTTTTTCATAATTATAAGAATACTATTAGCTGTTTTACTTCAGATTATGAGTTAATCGCTTCCTTTTTTAATTATCTTTCGATCAAAAAAAATATTGGTTCAAAAAACTTCATAACTTTTTTCAAAATTAAATTTAAAGTTTAAAATGCATTTATCTCGAAATCACTAAAACAGACTTAAGTCGTTTGTGCTTGAAGCCACTGAATTTATTTAATATTCTTTGTGATTGATTTTCAGGAAAAAAAATAACTAATAAAAAATAGAATTATATTTTTCGTTGTTTTACATGAATTTTCAGCAATAAATCAGATATTAGAATATTTACCTGCTAAAAGTTGTGGTACTGAATAGTTAGATGTACACATATCTGTACATAATTATTAAAAACTAATGGAATGGTTAAGTAATAATTCATAACATGTTGTAAAACAAAAGTTTGAAAAATTAGAATCATTGACATGAAAAATTGGAATGATTATTATTGATTAATTCATTTCATGTAAATTTTGATTAGAATTGAAAAACATAGAGTGCATATTCTTCGTATTTAAACTATAAACTCTGACGTATATGCATTACTATGTAGGTATTATAGTGCCCAAAAATTAGTAGTCGGTCATTAGTGATTATGATACAATATTTATTCGTAATTATACCCTGCACCTTCTTGAAGGGTATATTAACTTTGATATGGAGTTTATAAACACTTGAAGGAGTCATCTCCGGTATGGACATACATATATTATATTCTTGCTCAGAGTAAAATTCTGTGTTGATTTAAATATGTCCGCTCGTTCGTCTGTCCGAACAATATTGTTACTGAACTAGTCCGAACAACGGGTTCGAGTAGCTACCATGGAACTACTAAAGCTAATTTTAAATATTCAGAAAAATAATTACGATAGATTCATGAGACTTGGCCAATTAAGATAGATTCATGAGTCCAATTATCCGTGAAGTTATTGTGGAATAATCTGACAGGTTTGAGTAACTACACAATCATGAAAGCTAATTCTAAATATTTCAATAGCAAGTCTTTATATTCAAATTGTAAAGGTATAATTCAGTCGACTGAATTATACCTTTACAATTTGACCGACTGAAACGTTTTTACTTGTTTTCATCTCATTTCTATATATTATGTAAATAGTGTTTCGAATTCAAATTCTTATCATTTATTCCTGTCATTGCTATATCTGATACAAAAAGCATATAAAAAATTATTATGAACTAAAAGTTATATAATTATATAAATGAAGATGCCTCAAGATAATGGGAGAAAAATTGGAAAACATTAATTTCCAATTTATGTTGCTTGTTTTTATAGTGTTCCAATTTCATTTGAATAATAAAAATTCCTTACTTTGCATATTAGTTTCTTAAAAATTCTTATAATAAAACAAAAATTCTAAATAAGAGTTGCAGAAATATGAAGGAAAAATAAAGAGGATTATAATTTTAAGTTAAAAATAGATAATTTGTTATTTTTTTTTTTTAAATTTATTAAAAGACACCCTAAAGAAAAAAAAAATTCTTTAAAATTAGAATGAAATTAAAAGCTTATGAAATAACTAAAGTGCATTTCAAGAAAATGTTCATAAATATGAAAAGAAGCTCTTAAATTTTCTCAACTAGAAATTTATAAGTAACCATAATTCTTATACATCAAGGGTGATGTTGCATTATCTTCTGTTTATTGTTATAAAATAGAGAATTTAAGAAAATAAAATTTGGTATATAATCTACTGTTTATAACT